ACGATGACTATTGTTCATTAGATCATTTTTTATAGACCCACAAAATTTTAGGAGATTCCGGGCCGGTCGCCCGAATTCATGTAAATGACGTGGACTATATAGCACACGAAAATCTGGGAATTGTCTTGAATTCTTGTTTTATGGCCCTAAAATACTAAAAAATGATGAACAGTCATGGCGAAGCAATGGCTATTGTTCATTAGATCATTTTTTATGGGCCCGTAAAATTTGAGTATATTCGGAGTCGGTCGCCCGAATTCGTGTAGATGGTGTGAACGAATATCTAGAAATCGTCCTGAAGCAAAAAAAAAGAAGGAACGGTCATGGCAAAGCAATGACTATTGTTCATTTGATCGTTTTTATGGGCCCGTAAAATTTTAGGATATTCAGAGCTCGTCGCCCGAATTCCTGAAGATTGCGTGGATTAATAGCATACGAAAAATAAAAAAGCATCCTGAATTCTTGTTTTATGACCCTAAAACGCCAAAAAAGGAGGAACGGTCATCACAAAGCGATAAATATTGTTCATTAGGTCGTTTCTTATTGGCCCACAAAATTTTAGACGATTCTCCCTTGAATACATGAAGATGGGCACACAAAAAATATCGTCTTGAATTTCTGTTTTATGGCCCTAAAATGCCAAAAAGATAGTAGTAGTCAAGAAGAATCAATGACTATTGTTCATTGGGTCAAAATTATCATTCAATGGGAACTTATCCCTGCACTAAAAGTAACAACAACATTAAACCAAGTTAAATTTTACAAGTGGGATCTCATGAGGGTAGTGTATACGCATCCCTTGCTCCTACCTGGGGAAGGTAGAGATGTTATTTTTGATAGACACTCGGCTCAAGAAAGAAGAAAAAGAAACAATAAAAATAAGCAATATGACAACAAACTTTGCTCCCAGGCACGAGTCCCTAGGAAGGAGTCACAAACACTTTCTGGCGAGTGTGTCTACTATGTGATGTTAGTTTGTGTTTAGACCAACTTAGTTTTTTCTTCAATTATTCCTTAGTGATTATGTTAAAAACTTAATTCTCTTTTAATCATGGAAAACAGAATCTATTTTAACGCGGGTGGTAAGTCTTTTGATATTACAGAAAATAAAGATAGAGCAGAGGTTTGGTATGAATGGGTGGAGAGGAAGTCAAATTTCATGAGAAAGATAACTTTGAGTCGGAAGGTTATGCTGTGGTTATGTAAGCTTCTGCATATTGCTTCAGATGGGAAAGGGAATGAGTTCAGGAGATGGAGGACCCGGGATCATGTCTTCAGTTTTTACTGTGCCAAGAAGATCAATGACCATGGCAAGTTCATAAGTGTGGTTGCAGTGCAAGGGGTACGTAGAGCAGTTATTATCCTTCCAGAAGTTTCATCCAATGTAGGGTGGAAGGTACTTGCTTTAAAGATAGAAAGGTTCATTAATAGGGAGCCTCCTGCTACACAGAGACAACCTACAGTAGTTCCAGTTGCGAATCTTTCGTACAGAGGTGCTTTCAGGTCCGACAAGTGGGAAGCAAAAGGAGCCTCAACATCATCGTCCGAGAACCGGTCGAAAGTACAATGCATAGTGATGAATGGTCATGTTATAGGTGATGAAGACGTGTTGAGCAGGTGTCTGATCGGGAGCTTCGCAATCAACAAGGAGGTGCCTACTCTTTCTGATATCCAGAGATGGGCTAGCAACAAATGGAATGCAATTCCAGGGGTCCAGATGTATGAGTTACATGGGACAAAATTCTTATTTGAGTTTCCTTCCAGAAAATTAGCTGAACACACTAAACTTGGGGAATGGAGTTGGAGAAATAATTTATTGAGTCTTGATTGGTTGTCGCCGGTTGCAGAGTATTTACCGGCCACTGCCAATCTCGAGTGGGTGTGGATAAGAGTATTGGGATTACCACTCCATCTATGGTCACAATGAATTTTCAAGGAGATCGATGATAGATGTGGTGGTTGGATCAAAACAGAGGAAGAAACTTCTCTGCGTAACCATCTTAAATGGGCTAGTCTAAAAGTGAAGGGCCTAGTTGCAGCAGTTCCTAGTAGCATTGAGGTAGAAAAAAATAGAATTATCTTCATAATTCCATTTGGTGTGAGGCGCCGGTGATATGGAGATTTGTTTCAGAGGTTTCAGCGGTGAACAGGGGAGACACAAACAGTAACTATGATATAGGGGTTAAAAGGGGTGATGGAATCATGGCCTAGTGGATAAAGAGGTGCAAGTTGGGAAGTATTCAACTGGGCCACAAGGTATGGGCCAAGGGAGTTTTTAAATTTCTGGGTCTAATTGTGGGTCATTAAAGAGTCCAGATATGGGAATTAAAAATAGATTGGGTTCTATTAATAAGCCCGACCCAATGAAAACAGAGATATTAGCGAACATTAGCACAAGGGAATCACTTGCTATGGTTGCACTGATGGAGAGAGAAGAAGATATCTGCAACACAGAATCAACAGAACTAATGAACGTGCAAGGGTTTGAGGAAATGGCTAGATCAACATGTCGTGAAAGAGAAACTACTCCATTTTCTTCTCCTATTTCTGTTACAAAGAAACTGTAAGATGTAGTAGTACATGAGGAACCCACAGAAGTAATGAGCATGCAAGGTGAGGAGCAGATGGGTAGAGCATCTTGCTCTCAGAGAGAAATTATTCCATTTTCTTCTCTTTCTTCTGGATTAAACCAATTGATGGATGAAGAAGACCACGAGACATGGTCCGTGGATGATGCATAACCTCTAGATGTGCAATTTATCGAGGCAGAGATAGAGGCTTCTTTGTGGGTTCATAAATACGTTCTAAAATTGAGCAAGACTTACGAGGTAAATTTTCAAGGTTGTGAAAGGAAAGCTCTAGAGCTGTTTCTCAAAATTGATAGGCATAGACAAGAGTTGAGGAAGGCGTCAACAATGAAGATGTGCACGACTCCAAAAAGAAAAAAAGGGAGTTTGGAGGTTCAGAATTTAGTGTTCAATATGAATTTTCCGGAGTCAAGCTCTAGGAATAGAGGGAAATCTATTAGCAATGTGTATCAACGAAGGTCAATATTATCTCTTGGAACGTTAGGGGATTAAATCATGTTAACAAAAGAAGAGTGGTGAAACTATTAATTAAGAATTGGAAGGCAGACATTTATTGTCTTCAAGAATCCAAGCTTGAAGGGGATGTACAGGGGTATGTGAAACAGATATGGGGTTATAGATGGGTAAAATTTGGGTGTCTAGAGGCTAGCGGTACAAGAGGGCATTTTGCTATTATGGGATAGCAAAGTATGGAGGGGGGAAGTAGTCAATATTGGGAGTTATTCCATAACCTGTAGTTTCTTTTCTATAAATCAAAAACTTTCATGGCATTTATCTGTGGTATATGGGCCTTATTGTAGAATAGAGAGGGAGAATGTTTGGTGGGAGTTAGCTAATTTTAGGGGAGTTTTTGAAGGGCCTTGAGTTGTTTGTGGTGATTTTAACGTTACAAGATTTATGGAGGAAAGAAGGGGATACAATAGAATTTCAAGAGCTATAAGAGAGTTTACTGATTTTGTAGAGGATTTAGAGTTTATTGATCCACCACTTGAAGAGAAAATTTACACATAGAGCAGGGGAGTTAATTCTCGTATAGCGTCGAGATTGGATAGGTTTATGTTCTCGGTTGACTGGCATGAAAAGTTTAGGAATGTCAAACAAGTTATTCTTCCAAAAGTTTTCTCAGATCATTCTCCTATTTCTATGCAATGTGGGGTTTGGGAGAACACAAAATCCTATTTTAAGTTTGAAAATTGGTGGTTGGGAAAGAGGAGTTCAAGGATAAAATAGCTTCCTGGTGGATTTATTTTGATGTACAGGGCAGACCTGATTATGTTCTAGCCAAAAAACTCAGGTTGTTGATAGTTAAGCTGAAAGAATGGAGGACAGGTCAAGGGAAAAATTTGGAGGTTCTGAAAACTATCTGTTTGAACAAAATTCTTGTACTAGATGTGGTTCAAGAATCCAAGGATCTTTCTGAAGATGAGTCGGTGCAAAAGGCTAGCCTAGTCATAGAATTGGAAGAGATTGCCAAAAATGAGGAGTTAATTTAGAGGCAGAAATCAAGAGTTCAATGGTTAAAACAAGAGTATCGAAATACTAAATATTTTCAGAGGATTGCAAATGCCCACAGAAGGTTCAACAACATTGACAAGCTCAACATTAATGGGATACAAGTGGATGAAAAGGAAGTTATAAAGGGTGAGATCTTAGCTTTTTATCAGCACTTATACACTGAATCTGAAGCATGGAGGCCAGAGTTAAATTTTTCAGATTGTCCTAGAATTAGTGAGGCAGAGAAGCAATGGCTACAGAGGGAGTTTGAAGAGCAAGAAATCATTGAGGGATTGAAGGATTGTGCAGCAGACAAAGCTCCGGGTCCAGATGGCTACACCATGGGTTTTTTTATTCAATGCTGGGATGTAGTGAAAGAAGATTTGATGAATACTTTTCAAAACTTCCACTCACAGGAATTGTTTGAGAAGAGCTTTAATGCTACTTATGTAGCATTAATTCCAAAGAAGGCTGGGGCGATGGAACTAAAAGATTACAGACCTATAAGTCTCATAACTAGTCTGTATAAGATCATTTCAAAGGTGTTGACAAAGAGATTGAAGACAGTCATTCACAAACTGGTTGACACTCAACAAATGGCTTTTATCAAAGGTAGGCAGACCATGGATGCATCCCTAATAGCAAACGAATGTGTTGATTACAGGGTTAAAAGTAAGATCGTTGGGATCCTTGGCAAACTGGATATTGAGAAGGACTATGACCATATAAACTGAAACTATTTTATGAAAACTCTGAAGAATATGGGCTTTGGAAGCAAGTGGATCAAATGGATAGGTTTCTGCATCAGCACTGTTAAGTTTTCCATTCTAGTTAATGGTTCTCCAGATGGTTTCTTTTTCTTTACAGAGAGGGCTAAGGCAAGAAGACCCTCTGTTTCCTTTCCTTTTTATAATTGTAATGGAAGGTCTGAATAGTATGATTAAGAAGGCAAATCGGGATAGGTTGATAAGGGATTTCAAGGCAGTGAATAATGTCAGTAGCAATCTAGAGATTACTCATCTACTTTATGCGGATGATTCTTTGGTGTTCTGTGATGCTAAAGAAGAGCAAGTTAGACATCTGAGGTTGATCTTATCTGTCTTTGAAGCTGTCTCACAGTTACATGTCAATTGGAGTAAGTAACAGGTGTACACAATTAATGAGGTCACCAACATTCAAAGATTGGCAGGGGTGCTAGGTTGTCAAGTGAGAAATCTCCCAACAACATATTTGTGGATGCCCTTGAGAGCAAAAAATAGATCCCAGGAATTATGGAATGAGGTGTTGGAGAGGTGTGAAAAGAAACTTGCTATATGGAAAGGAAATTATCTTTCTCTTGGATGGAGGATTACTTTAGTCAATAGTGTACTAGATGTTCTTCCTACTTACATGATGTCTCTTTTCCCAATTCCTGTAAAAGTTGAGATAAGAGTGGATGCTTTAAGGAGGAAATTCATATGGCAAGGGAAAAAGGAGAAGAAGGCCTACAATTTGGTAAAATAGAGCATTTTGCTTAAAAGCAAGAGGGGTGGAGGTTTGGGAATCAGACAACATAACAAGAGTTTACATATGAAGTGGCTATGGAGATTTTCTCTGGAGGATCAAGCTTTATGGAGAAAGGTTATCTGTGAAAAATATGGGGCAGATGGAAGGTGGTGTACAGCAGGAGCTTCTAGACCCTATGGTGTAAGTGTATGGAAGTCAATTAGAAATTTATGGCCAGGATTTATCAGCAATGTTAGAAACAAAGTGGGGAATGACAATAAAACTTCTTTCTGGAATGATGATTGGATTGGTAATGGACCTCTTAAAGAGGTTTTTCCATATTTGTTCACTATAGTGCAACAACCGCAAACTACTGTGGCTGAGGTATGGAGTATGCAGGGGTGGAATGTTACATTCAGAAGGTTCCTCAATGACTGGGAGGTTACGAGAGTGATTGAATTCTACAAATTGTTGGATGGCTTTAAGGGCATCACAGAAGAAGAGGACATGCTTATATGGAAAGAAACAACGGAGGAGTATATACTGTAAAGTCAGCATATGGAATCTTAAATAGCTCTGGTCACATGAACAATGGGACATGGCACTGGAAGCACATCTGGAAGGTGAAAATCCCTTTTAAAGTGCCTTACTTTTGTTGGCTTGTAGTCAAAGAGGTTGTTCTAACTCATGACTATTTAATGAGGAGAGGAATGCTTATGTGTTCCAAATGTTTCTTGTGTAGAAAAGAGATTGAAACAAACAACCACCTCTTTTTACATTGCAAAGTAACTAGTAGGTTGTGGTATTTTTCATGAGTATAAAAGGTGTGAAATGGGCAATACCTAGGACAACTGCAGAAATGTTAGCTTGTTGGAATGACCCTGGTATTCTACTGAGGCAGAAGTGTGATCACCTAATTTTTGATCATATTTGAATTTTTTCATCACTTTTTAGTTGGTAAATATTTTTAAAGCTTTTGTTTTATCTTTTTGTATGTTTTTAAGAAAATTAAAAATAAAAAAAAATATTTTTAGATAATTAGTCTTCTTTTAATTTTTTAAATATATTTTATTAGTATATTTTTTGTTAGTCTAAAGACTTTCTATAAATAAATATTAAATATTTAGTACTTTAATCCTTTGGTTAGTAAGAAGTAGTATTTTACACTATTTACCAATTATCTCTAAATAAATAAATAAATAAGAGTAAAAAAAAATGAACGAAAAGGTGGCACAACGATGTGGCCTTGAAAATTTTGCACAAAACTTGCACATGCACTTTTCCCAATTGGCTACCCATTTTTCAAAAGCTCACATGGGGTAGGAATCCAATTTCTCCTTCCCCAATTTTCATTCTACTATACATATAACAAAAAGTCAAAGAGGGGGGAGGAAAGTCAAAAAGGAGAGGAGGAAAGAGAGGGGATCCGAGAGAGAAGAAAAAAGAGAGGAAGTTAGATCTGGGGACAGAGACCAGAGAGAGAAGAAAACGTAGCACAAAAATATATATATATACTACAAATGGATCTTATCTTTTTTATAGGGAGATACCATTCATAACACTCATTTTTTCACCATTAAAATCACCTCTAAAACTCCATATACCAATAACTTAACACCGCTGCCAAACACTACTACTTCTTCATAAAAGCCAATTGGGAGCTCAGCTAAAAATCAACCCATTTTCCACCCAAAAGCAGTCCCTAAATCAACACTCCAAACCCAGCAAAAAGAAAATAGTCCATAAATTATAACTTTTAAACCTAAAATCAAGCTAAAAAGAAAACCCAGCTATAGCAACACCATGAAACAACCTTTAAATCATCGTTGTTATTAGAGTTTCGGTCGAGGTTTAGTCAACTGCGAGATTTTCAACCACTGATTTTGGTTCGAAGCCGGCTTTGGTCTTTAAAGTTTCAAAGGGTGTTGACGTCATAGTCTTTGACGTAAAGGTCCACTTTTACTCTCATTGTAATTCTTCTGTTTCCTTTAATAATCATAAATTGGTAAGCTTTATTATTAATATTTTAGTGCTTAAATTTGTGCTCTACTGAACAATGTACTTTATGTTACTGTTCTGTTAACTTGATGTGATTGTATTGTTGTTTAAAGCATTTCCATTTTAGGATTATCTCTATGCTTGATTATAGGAATAATAGGGACTTAATAGTAATATCTTTAGTTACAATTATATCTAAATGCTACACTTCTCCCCAACAAATTTTATAATTTATGACTTTACAATAATCTCAAACTTAGGATTTGAACACTCATAAATACCGCTAGTACACTTTTAGGCGCATTTTAAACTTATTATCGTGATTATCTATACGTCCGAGTGACATAATTATGATTTTTAAAATAAATCAAGGTACGCGTTTGCGCGACTTTGGCCAAAAATAATCTTAGTAAATAATAAAGCGGGATTAATTGTGTACACGTGCGCGTGACAGAATTTTAGCGCATTAAATAAAACGAATTTACACACATGTGATCCGTTTCAAAGATAATTTCATATTTTAATAATTAAAAACGGATAGATAAAATATGAAACCAATAAATCACAGTATGTCCAAAATTAATCCAAGCCAAGTTGTAGTCAATAAAGCGACCGTGCTAGAACCATGGGACTCGGGGAATGTCTTACACCTTCTCCCCGGTTAATAAAATTCCTTACCCGCACTTTATTTTCGCAAACCAATAATAATAGAGTCAAATCTTCCTTTGACTAGAGATTCAAATAAAAGGTGACTTGAAACACCCAAAAAATTAATTTCAAGTGACGACTCTATAAATAAAATAATCTATATTCAAGTTTGTCACTTTAATTGGAGAAACTCTTTAACCCACAATCTATAATAACATAATATATCTTTTGGGGGGTAGAAAAGGGGTGTGATAGCTATGGCGACTATGTTGAGGACTCTCAAGAATTCGAGCTTGTACATTGACTTTATTTGGCTTTATTAATTTTTGTATATACTGTGATTTATTTGGGCCTAATGTGCTATTTGTCCGTTTTTTACCGCTTTGATATTATTGAATTGTACATATAAACGGTCTTCTCTCGCACTCCTATGAGTCTTCTTGAATTTAAATTGGGAATTGGCTTGACATAGCCCGCTTTCTTTGAGATAGCCGAGGTGCTTGTTACCCGGTGAAGGATTTTAGTCACATATGTTTTAGGTGGGGAGCACCACCAGCTAAGCCGAAAAGCAATGTTATCGGTACGCTGACCCTCCTCGGCTCGAGTTGCCCGCTCGAGTAAGCCAGTCTAGATACCTTCTCCAGCAGGATTCAAATCTAGAATAACATAGCCTAATGACAGATCCCTAGTAGGAACGTTTATTTGCATCACGTGCATTTGACTTTGGGGACTCAACACAAGGGTTGGGTCCGTCTAGGACACGTGTACCCAATTTGAAAGACCATCCTGATGCATTTTTACGTGCTACTTGTGTATATGTTTGTTTCGTCTTGCATATTGACCGGCTTCTAGAATAGGGAAAGGAAACCAAAAAAAATCAAGAGTGAGGTAGGAGAGAAAATTTATCCGATTTCTGAAAAATCCAGGTATTTGAAAATCCCGAAACTTTGTCGAAATTTTGAAAAACAAAAAGAGAAAGAAAAGTTATTTCAAAATAAGCCAATATTTTTAAAAGTCATATGTTTTTTTGTTGTGTAAAAACTGATCGAACTACGCGGGTCTGATTCTCACCGGATGTGAGATACGTAGGCAAATCTCATCAGTTCCGGCCCCCAATTTTTAAAAATCTAAAAATATTTTCCTTTAATTTCTTCTTTAAAAGTCTTTCTTTGAGACGTCAAATCCAAAAATACAAAAATATTTTCTTCCTTTTTTAAAAGTCTTTCTCCAAAAAAAACAAAAATCAAAATTCAATTTTTTTTCTTTCTTTCGAAAATAATGAAAAAATAAAAAAAATAAAAAATAAAAATCCAAAATTATTTTCTTTATTGTTTAGAAGTCTTTCTTTCGAAAATTTCGAATAAAAAAAAATTAAAATCTAAAATATTTTCCTTGTTAGGAGCTTTTGTGGTATGATTTTAAAAAAAGATGGTTGATAAATAAATTAGAAAAAGAGTTAGCTTATTTACTTTATTTCTGGTATCCCTGATCTATGCAAGATCTGATTCATGTTCCCACATGATACGTAGGCAACCCACGTCAGGTTCGATCGAATGATTTTGAAAAAAGAAAAAAAAAAGAGGGGAAGAGTGTGTTCATTCTAACATGCTTGTTATTTTGAAATAAAAGCTAGTTAAAGATGGTTGGTTTGTTGGTTTGCCATGGTGAATCACGAAAATAATCCTGGATCACTCTATCATCATCTTCTCAACCGAAGGAACAAGAACCACTATTGTTGATCCAACTAAGGTCACGAAAAGGCAAGTAGACAAGTTGGTGATAAAAATGGAGGCAAATATTGGCTGACTTCTACCAGTTTTGAGCAACAGGACATGCTCTGCTTGGATGATCTGTGATGATAGGGAGACATCAGAATTCGTCCAAGTTATTTGACAAATTAGTTAATGTGAAAGTTCTCATGCTGTAAGTCCTAAAATTCGATAGCCAATATAGGGAACGGTTTGATCAAAAGTCACAATTTGAGTGTTGAATCCATAGAAATTAAAATGGTTGAATGTCGTAGTAATGCTGATGTGCAAGTCCATGACTAAGATGTCGCTTAGTAACTGGAAAGTCACTCCTCTTTTAGCCATTAAGGAGACATGGTAGCTTATTTTGTCCTCTTTTCTTCTTCTTTTTGTGTTATCGGACCATGCTATCCTTTATTCAATAAAAAAATAGTCAGTCATTTTATGTCCATTTTTTTTGCATAGTTCTTTTCACGCTAGTTCTAGTGACATGACATGCATGCAGAATTTTGGCCAGATCCTAGAAAACTTATTTAGTCTTGAACTGGTTAACTGATAACAAGACACTTTTGAGGATGAATACACAGTTGAAACACTTTGGAATTAAGCTCGGTTCAAATTCATGTGGAACTAGGATAATCATACTTGTAGGGTTAATGATCTTTACCTACAAATTATTGTGAAGATCGGGTTTGAGGAAAAATTAATTGAAGTTTGGTGGAAAATTTGACATTAATGGATGGAAAGTGTCTTTTGACCACTACACACCAAGAAGACAGACATGTTCATCAATATTGTGATCACAAAATGATACTATGTTTGGCGTTCTTGAGGCTGGGAGGCCTTTTTTCGGCTATCCAAACACTTTATACCCTTCGTTACCCCTTTTGAGCCTGTGTTATTTTGTTTGACCACCCTTTTTTGGAATCAAGTGTAGAGTCAAAAGTAAAAAAAAAATGAAATGAAAAAAAAATGAAAATAAAAGTCCATGCCCCAAGAGTACAAATTGGGGCAACTCTTAGAAAGTTCAAGTGAAAAAATAATAAGAAAAGAACAGTCAAAGATCCATGCCCCCAGGAAATAAAAGTTGGGGCAACTTGTTTTGAAAAAAGAAAAGAAAAAGACGGATAAAAAAAAAATTATGTCAGATATTTG